TATTGTTGTATGTTTTATGCATTTTAATTTCTGTCATTAATATCAACCCTATTAGAGTCAATAAATCATAATAACAGGGAAAATAATACATCAACACCCTACTATCCTACCCAGTTACAATTTCTTGAAAACTTTGACCAATGAAGAACAGAGAGCACCATTCAGTTGACCATGAAAGGGAAACTTCAAAGAAATTGCAAAAGATCATTAAACTTCCCTAGGCGTCTTGCAAACAAGCACATAGGGTTTTCATTTATCTATTAGGTGGGTACACCCTTTTTTTCTAAGAGTAAATTCTTTTTTCCAACACCTTTTGTTTCCCCTTTATAAAAATTTTTAGTAATGCAACTTAATTAAAAAGTGTAAACAAATAAATATTATAAACATCTAGGTTTGTGTATTATACGTACTTTTTAGAGAAGTGTATCTTAAAGAAAGCCAGATGGTTTATAAAAAATTATTACATTTGTCTGTGAAAATTTCTATTTTTAAAATTAGTGTTTAAATAACTGCCAGAATTATTTCTATCTCGGTGGTTTCTTGCAGATTCATTTTTTGAATTTAAAAGAAAAAAAAACTATGTACTATTTTATTTACAGCCCAATTAAATTTTTGAAGTTTTATCTGGAGTCTTCTCATTTCCTATATAAAGTGACTGACCAGCATATAAAGGCAGAATGTAATCAGATTTCAAAGGGCAGAAAAAGATTTCAAAGGGCAGAAGCGTGTGATAAGTTACAAAAAAATCTAACAAAAAAAAAAACAAGTATTTCTACCATGAGAAAGTGACACAAAAATTTAGATAGATTAAGGACTCAGAAGGCAATTCAATCTTTGGTTGCTGCCTCAGAATTTGAAAAGGAACCAAAACCTGTTACTGGAACCTTTCTATAAAAGAAAAATGATAAATGTCCTCATGCAATATCGGTATTTCGAAACTGTCTAAACTTCCTTTGAGCTGTGACATTTTCTTTTGTCTATCAGGTGTGTGCCCCTTTCGTATTTCCTACCTTGTCTAAATTTTACATTATCTTTTCAAAATATTTTTTTTTCATTTTTCAAAAGTTGTTTTGAAATTCTTTTCTTAAAATCAAATGTATATTTCCTGATATGTTGCCCTACTTAATTTTTTAAATAAGGAGCTCAAAAGAAAAGTTTTGTACAAGCCCATCATAAAATATTGTATTTGTTTTAAATATATTTCATAATATTTGTCACTTTAAATTTCACATAGTAGTTCAGTCTTGTTTGTAATCGCCTTTTTTTAACATTTGGGATAAGAGAGGTGACATGCTCTTTCTTTTTTTTTTTTCCCCATTCCATCCCAGCAAAAACAAATTCTTATATTTTGCATAAAAGTTTTTGTAAAAGAAAATTTTTTTTCTTCTTCCTTCTCAAAGGTTTTTTCTTTCTTGATATGCAAAAAAAAAAAAAATTATTGTGAATTTTCGATCCAATTATTTCTATAATTTTATGTTGATTTGCCTTTTGTCCTTAAAGTGCATGAAAGGACATTCTTGTGCAAGCCTTTTTTGGAAAATTTGTTCTGTTATATTGCTTTGTATTAGTTCTATAAATGTTTGTAACTTTCAAATTTAATGAGGTAGTTTTCTACCAAAACTAGGTGACTATCAGTGGGCGTCCTATTTCTAAATGGCACTGAAACCAAACAGTTCTTATATAGCTTGTTATGATTTCTGAGCTCTTAACAGTATTGCTAAAACTGACAGCTACCAGATACCTAATATAAATTTAACTCTAAACTCAAGAAACAAACATTGCTTTTCTATAATAGATCTGGCTATCATCCAATAAGAGTCCACACAGAGGATGTACTTAAAACAGAAATAACTATCCTATTTGGTTTGTTTAAGTTAAAAAATAAGCCTTTGAGAACCCATTTCAACTGCAGATGAAACAGGTCAAGCATAAGTTTACATTGGCTGAAGGCTATCAGTTCAATAATTATACTGGGTCATAAATATACATTTGAGCAATTTAACAACTTAACAGAATCTACATTTTGGGTTCATACTACAATGCAAGATATTAGCTTTGTAGTTGTGTTTAAGCAGGCTCTGGTACCATATAGCAAGAATAAACCCTGTCCTGAACTCCTTAGCTACTGGTAGATTGTGACTTGATCTATATGAACATTTTTGCTTCTAAAAAACGAACTGTGGCTGTCGAGGCTTTTGGCTCCAGCTTTTTGCTTCATTACAACTTGCAACATTCAATCTTGTATAGCTTCATGTTCCAATTTTGTAAGACAATTCCAGTTGAATGATGTCCCTATCGCTATTACTTTTCCGCAGATACACATGGTCAACATCTGCCTTAGGATGGTACATTCTATTGCATGTACATCATTTAACAAATTTTTGCATCAATTTTCTTGTTTTCTTTTAAGTTTCAATTTATTATATTGAATTCATAAGGTACAACAGGGATAGCAGCTGTTAATGGCCATTAAAATATTTCTCAAATAAAAGTCAGTTTTCATTATTACTTACAAGAAATGATGTAACATCATTAATTCTGGAGTTGTCATTCATTTAGACCTGAATTATGAACAAATTATTCCCATATCATATGAAAAAGTTAAAATCATTAATTGATGATATCCGCTGATCTTTGAAGAAATATTGACCATGCCTGTTGTTTATGAGTTAATATAAATGTAGTTTTTATTCTTGTTAATAACTCTAATGAAATACAGAGCTAAAATTCTATCTTGAAATAAAAATAAAATGATTTGAGTTCATGAGTGTAGAATAAAAATCTGAGAAAACTGTAATACCCACAGCAAATATTTCAAAACCACACATTTTTGTGCTTTTTAATGTTTCCAAGATCGTTGGAACCACACAACAGTAAGTATAATAGTAATAAAATTTTGTCTGTCCATTTATGTCTTTGAAACGCCTCTAAATCTGGCCACACTTGCTCTACATTGACATATACCTTTTTAGGATCAGGATGATCTCAGGATTGAAAATTTGCTCTTTATCTGGTGCTTGAACATCCAGAATTGGGATTTGTGTCCGGATGAGAAAGGAACAATTAAAAATTCAAATTTTAAAATAACCAAAAAAAAAAAAAAAATGAATGATTTCAAAAGCTTTTAATTTATACTGATTCCAAAGTAACACAAAAAAATTGAATTTAAAAATTTTTTGTTTTAAATTCAGTTTCAAATATCTCCAAAACTTTTTCTTTCTTTAAACTGTCAAGGAATCAGAGTTAAAATGAGAGGTTTCATGATGTGAGGTTTTCAAATTCCACAGAGTTTGTGATTTAAAGAAATTTTCAGCCTGAATTAGAATTTCAACCCCAATCAGTCTTTTGGCCAGAATTAGACTTATAACCTGAATCAGAGTTTAAGTAAGGTTTTCAAGTTCCATGGAGTGAATTGAGGAATTCAAACGTATTTCTTCCATATTATCATTACTATTTTCTAAGTTGGACCAGATGTTCCTTCAGTTTTGGGTTAAAGGCTCAATTCACCATCTGCAGAAGCTAACTTAAAAGCTGCAATCTGTGCAGACTTTTAAGCTAGTAGCATATAAAAGAGACAGACACTTTTAAGCTCATCACAGCAGCCATCTTTGATTTTCACACTGTCCAAAGAAATCCATGCCATATTTTATATTGAAGCCTGCATATTTGGTTCTTTGCAACTTTTCCCTAATGCCAATAAAAAAAGTGCATAAATTATTTTTTTTAACTTAATATAAAAATAACAAAAATGAGAAAAATTGACAGGTATTTAGACCTAACAATTAAAACAAAGGTTTATCGACAAAACTCTGAAGTAAAGGTTTTGAATATAATATCAATCAGCTAAGTGTCAAATATTATATTTCTATATATTATATATATATATATATATATATATATATATATATATATATATATATATATCAGCATATCTTCATGCAAACATGTTTCATTGAATAATATAGACATATTGTGTCTAATTATTTTTATACAGATCCTTTCCAGTTATCTAATCAGTTTCTTGATGTTAAGATGAAATTCATCAAGTAAAGTGAGTGGCTTTTTTTAACCCAAGTACTTTCAATCTTTTCTAAGATCATCTTCAGAGGTAAATTACAAATGACAAACTTACTGTAACCGTGATAAAATCTGCATTCTGTGGTGATAGTGATTTTTAAAACATGCATGAAGATTGGTCTATTATATTGTTTTTGTTTTAGAATTTCCCATATATCCATTGTAGTTATTTAATGCCATTTTACATTTCTACCAATTTCCAATCAGTTCCCTTATATTGAAATGCTTATTTTTCGAAAATTTCCATAACTACAATGTACAAATTTTAAATTCTAAAACAACTATATATATATATCATTAAAAAATATGGACAAAGGTATTTGCTAGAAAAAAGGAAAGTATGTTTCTTCTTGTAAACAAAATAAGTGAAATGTCAATTAAAATTGGAAATAATAAAACCTGGGCATCTGAAAATTAAAAGTAATTTTGTTGTTTGACTTTTCTTTTTGTATCTTTGGTTAGGATTAGATGAATATTTTCATCATTAATGAGAAGAATGAAAAATAACAAGACTAAAAAACAATAAATCCAAGGCAAAATGTATCATTAATCTCAGGGTTAAAATAAAATCAAATATTTTTGAGCAAATTTGGCTTGAATTTATTTTTCCAAATATTCTTTTACTCTGAATAGCACCCAACATAGCGGCAGCACCAACACACACACACACACATCTTAAAATTTATTCACAATTTTTTTAATATCCCTCAGGCATTGTGATTTTAGTAGTACAAGTCTGATCACGCAACTTTATTGCATGCCTTGAAATAAGATTTTCTTTTTTAGATGCAATAATATGTCAGCCAACTTCACCAATCCAGCACTTGGAATGCAACCTCCGACTCTGTGGCCTTCACTGTCTGCCACTGAACACTTGCACTAAATATCAGCAAGTAACAGAAACGATCAACAACAATTTGTTGCTAATACGCGATTCCATGATGAGCAAATCTTTCAACCGGACGACATTCCAGATCTAATACTAAATGGTCAATGTGAGGGCCGTAGGGCTTAACATGTTCAATATGTTTCACAATAGTTGCCCATGGCTTGCAATGAAGCTCTTCCAGAATATGACGAATGGATGCTGCCACATCAGCTGCCCATGAATCCCATTGCTCTTGTCGCTGGAGCTGTTTCACAGAAGGTGCTTTCTCATAGTTCCAGGTCTGATAGACTTTAATAATATCTGCATCTTCTTGGTCAGAAGGGTGAGGATCATCCGGCGTAAATTTATGAATGTCATTAGCAAGATATGAATGGCTGGACGTAGCCCCTCCACTACCAGGTGATGCTTGGTTCAAGTTTCGGTAAATTGGCAGCATGTTTGTCTGACCCTGGAGAGTAGCTGATAACTCAGCAGCTGCTTCGGCCGCACGGTTCTGTAGTTTCATTCTTATATCTTCACATTTGCTACTGGGAGTTGTGGTAACATTCTCATGGATATGGAGGATGCCACCCATTTCACTTTTGAGAGAGAGACAGGCTGGAAGCCAGCCTTCCCGACTGCTAGGAAGCAAGCCAAGATTGACTCGATCTGCAACTCCATGAGGACACACCTGAAAAACATAACAATTACAAAAGCTATAAATGCATCATTTTTTTTAATTTTTTTTATTTTCAATCGATTTTGCCACAAGCAAAACAGTAGACACAAAGGGTTACTGGGTATGGAAGAGTTAGAAACAGAAACTATGCAAAGGCACAAGAAGAAAAGTAATCAAGAGGACAGTAGATAGCGATTGACATTGCATTTAAAATGTTGCAGAATAAAGTTGGCTAGAAAACATGGAGCCGGAATGGAGTTCCACAAATGAGAAGTATGAGAAAATAAACTGTTAGCATAGAATTTATACTTACATCTCGCCAACTCAACTGTAAATTGGCGAAACCTTGTCACCAGTCTAGTACTGGTGACTAAATTCAAAGAGTCTAGGCTCCATAGCAAAGAACTCATCTGAGCAATTACCATGAAAGTATTCAGCATTAATATTATTTTTCATCATTTTATTTTTTAAGAGTCTCCCCATGTCTCAACCAGCAACATCAAGAAAATAGTTTTTGCATTTAAAGTGCTAACAGGTGAGTTATCATGTATTTTGAAGAAATAGAAAATAAAAAGATTTCAAATTTGTGCAGTTTTAAAATTAACATTTTATAATTTTTCGTAAAATATTCAAGTTTACAGTTCCAAGAAATGATTGAACGATTGTTTAAGTATTTAATACCAACATTTATTTAGATTAAGATCCCTTTAATTAATCTAAATCGACCTGATTTATCCTGCATAAAAACAGCAAACGGTATCGGGCAAAGTAAAATACAACCCAATATTAAAATCTAAAAAGTGTAGAGTAAATTCTTGTCTGAGGAAACCGATTACTAGTACTAATCACTAAATTACTAATCTCTTACCCTATCTTTACCCAGCCTGTTTCTCTCACCTTCCCTCCTTACAACCAATCTAATATGTTTTTCTGGTGTACTTTCTCCATTTGCCAAGGAGATTTTGTTCTGATGAGTTGAACATCTTGGTGTTCACAAAATAAAAATTATAAATGAAATGGATAATTAAAGTCTCTGTCTTTTTATTATCATATATATAAGATTAATGTGAGTAAAAGCTTGTCACTTAGCTGACTGATGTTACCTTCAGCATCCTGACTCCAGAGTTTCATAGGCGGACTTGTCTGTTTACTCTTTAGTAGGTATCAGCAATTTTATATATATATATATATATATATATATATATATATATATATATATAAATAAAACACAAAATCAAGATCTGCTAGCAGTCTGTTTCATGCTTAATCATCAGGCCATGTGTATTTTTTTGTGCTTGACTATTTATATATACTATTGAGATATATATTATTAGTAGGTCTATTATATTATTCTAATGGTTATTTGGGCAGGGGTGGTAACAGCTATGTTTGAATAATTTTAGCGGCACTTGAGTGGAAATGATTGTAAGGAAATGTTTGCATGAAGACAGATGAACAGATGCTAAGAGTGGTTTTTTTTTTATAACTTTCCCCATCTTTCCTGATTCAAGTGGCACAGATGTGAGAAAGACCAAAATAATGACTGTTACAAACCAAAAGAGTTCGAACCCACAAAAAGGAGGATATGAGATGAAAAGATACATTAAAAAGATATATACATTCTATAAATTTATAAAACAATCATAAAGTAAAAGTAAAAAGAAATCAGTGGTAGTTTAGGTCTGGAGGCTGCCCCCTTAAGGTAAGGCTTCAAGAACACCAGAAAGCTGTAACACGAGGGGAATCAGGCATGGCTGACCACATATGGAGAGAAAAGGGAGATCACCACCCTCTGTAGGATCAGGTTGAGATCATAGACAAAAAACACCATTGGAAAATTTGTAAACTTAAAGTATCAGCACATATGCTAGTCCACAAAAATCTCCTGAGCCAACCAAGCATAGAAATGAATATAATATGGGAACCAGTAATAAGGAGTGCCAAAGAAAAGCAATAATAACAACAAAAATTGCAATATGAGCTCTGGTAAAAAACATAAAAAATAACAGCAAAAAATTGCAATATGAGCACTGATAAAAAATAGTTGCTGAAGACATTAGGTTTATAACACCCAGAAATTCATACACAGATGTTCTCAAGGACACATGGCACAGTGGATAAAGGCATTAGTTAGATCCAGTGACAGGACCCAAAGAGTGTGAGATCAATACTCGGTTAACACAGTGGAGAACTTTCAGAGGGGAATTAACAGGAGATAACTGATAACTGACATCCATTAAACATAGCATTAGAACAGTCTACCCCAGTGAAATAAAGGGTTCAGTTCAATATTCCAACCACCTGAGGAAGGCTGAAGTGTACAATGGCCAAAACGTTGTAATAAATATGGCGACAAAGATGAGGACAATAGTCCAAATAATGTAAATAGTGGAGAAGAAAAAGTTGCAAGAAATGCAAAATCTTCTAATATTAAATCATATTTGTTTGATACTTTTTTTTTTTTTTTTAAAAGGTTTACCTTTTTGTTATCCCCAAAATGAATGATACACCGCTCAGCAACGTTGTTCAATTTAAGATTTTCTTTCAAGGCATGGACAGCATCTGGATTCCATTCACAAGCATGAACCACACTGGCTTTTGCATGAACCAAATAAGGAAGAGTAAAATAGCCAATACCTGCAAAAGACAACAAGGATTAAAAAGAAAAGAAAATTTTGCCATTTATATATATGTACATGATAAATGTGAATGTCAGTGTGTCACACTTTTTCAACTTTACTTCTAGAGGCCATAGCTCAACATATACCATTTGATTAGGCTGACTCTAAGCAAATTAAAAACATTCCGCGCCAAATCCGGACCCACAATCCTGAAATTTTGGATTCCCAAGTTTTCATTACTGAGGTTGTTTTTGAAAAAAATTTTTCTTTTTTTACATGATTTTTGTGACAAATTTTTTGTACGATAACAATCTTTATAACTCAGAAAGAAATATGGTAATAATTGAAATTGCAAAATCCAATGAAAGTTACCCATGAAATAAAAATAATTGTTTGTATGGAAAGTAAGGACCTACGTAAATCAAATTGACTTTAAATTAAGTGGCAGCAGAAGAATTATCATTGAACTTTTAAAAGGTAAGCTTAAATATTAATGTAATACTTAAATGCAGTAATAAGTTTTGAATTCTTCTGTATTTTATTGTTGCCTACCGCATCTACTCCTCCCTACCTATTGTGGTGAAGGCCCAAACAAGAGCCCCCCCCCATGGAAACCAACTTAAATGCCACCCAATAAGGCAGCTTTTAAGGTAATATATATATATATATATATATATATATATATCTTATTTGTTTAATTTAATGTATTGCTGTTGTCTCAAGTATGTCACATTTCTGCGTATAGTGCATATATTTTCATTTTTCTTGTTGATGTTTTAAAAGGTAGTCTTTTTTATTTTTTGATTTATTACATAGCAAAAATTTGTTTTTGTATCTGCATTTTGAGATAAATTCTGATCATTTATTTACTAATTTGTTTCAGTCTGGGAAATTAATTATAACTATTTTCTCCTCCCGACAGAGTTTACAGTTTTGGGGATTTAGTGTTCTAGGCTGATGTTCTTTTCCTTATTTTCCAGGATATTTTAGTGTAATTTGGTCTTTGCTTTTAATTTCCCATATTTATATTTACTTATTTTTCTGTTTTTTATAATTTAACATTTAATGTCATATCTGAGTTTGATGTTTGCTCAGAATATTTTGTACATGCATACTCTTAAATCTTCTTCCAAGGATTCTAGCCAAAATTTATTGTACTTTGGACTTCTTTTGAAAATAACTTAATTAATGATCTTTAAAAATGTTTACAGTACACCTACAATCCTCTCACAGTATGCTATTTGAAAATCACTGCTGTAAATGAATAATCTAAATCTTACCAGCATATAAATCAACAATTGTCTCATGTTGACAATCAAATGTTGAGATTCGTAATTTCTCTGTGATATTTCCCGCACTTAACATGCACTTGGTCACATCATAGTGATATCTACAAATCAGTAAAGAAAGATATATTAAAAATCATTTACAATTAAAAATTTGAACAGAAGCTGGAATTGTAATCTAATGGAAGAGCTAAATTTGTTACATATAGAATTTTTATTTTTCAAATAAGGAAAACCTATGTCATATCAAAGCTGAAGAACAGTCTAATCTCTTCAATCTAGCAACCTTGGTACCAGGTTATTACTGAACCAGAGAAAATAGATGTCGTTTAAAAGAGATTCCAGAACCATAAAATCAGAAGAAGTACAACACTTAAAACGATATTGAAACAGTTGCATGAAAAAATGTTGGCAAAGACTGGGTTATCAACGGTATGTTAGTCAATTACTGAATCTAAAATCTACTGAGCACAGATCAATGATATAGTTAGACATGATTGTCCATTCTTTATCCAAAATTAGACATACTTAATCTTAACTTCAATCTCTGTGAGGTGCATCCAAAGTAACGAGATTCAAAATTTTGACAGTAATTATCTACATGTCTCTACTTCATCATGTTATACAAAAGTTTTATATGACCGAAAAATTGTTTAAATCTTTTTTCAATCCTTTCACCCAAAGTAAGGAGATAAAGCCACTAAGATGCATGAGATTACAAAATGTGAAAGAATCTGAGAAAATGTTACTGAAGAGGAAGGACAGAATGCTTCATTAATTCCAAAGATTCATTTTTGGTGATCTGGATAACCAAGATATACCAGCTCATGAGTCATCATGCAACAATAAAGAGATTTGCTGGGATTTCCACCCCCACCTCAAGCTATGCTATAAACGTCAATAAGACGCAAACGGTTACTGACAGTGAAAGAAACTGAGAAAATGTTACTGAAGCGAAAGGACAATAAAAAGAATAGGATTCAAAGAGACAGAAGATGACAATTGACGTTGCATTTAAATTTTTGAACATCGTAGTTGAGAGGAAAGCAAGAAGGAAACTGGGAAAACATTACTGAGGAGAAAGGACAATAAAAAGAACAGGATTCAAAGAAAAGATGACGATTGACGTTGTTTGCATTTAAATGTTTGAAGATTGTAGTTGAGAGGAAAGCAAGAAAAGCCGGAATAGCATTCCACAAATGAGAAGTGCAAGAGAGGAAACTAGTAGAATAGAACTTACTCTTAACAATTTCAATAATAAAATGTTGAGACCTAACTTCCAATCTAGTACCACACTTAAATTCATGAAGTCAACATACAAAACTTTGAAACTTTAGCAAATATTCCAGTAAAATAATTTGCATATAAGAAAAGCAGTCTATTTATTTAGAAACATTTCAAATAGCTTTGGCTTAGATAAAATCTTGTAGCAATCAGGGTACTGCCCATGCTTCATCATTTGGAAACTCATTATCTAGAATAGTGATTTTATGTCATGACAACTTCTCTTAAGAAAAATGTTTTTTTAACTCCTACATATTTTAAGATCCTTTTTATACAGAACTGAAATATCAATTAACAATTTGAATTTCCTTTTTCTTCATAACAATTTCTTTTAAACTTCAAAGACTACAAATCATTTTCTTAGTCTATGTTAGATGTGGAACTTTGAACTTTCAGGTTAAAGTTTGTTTCTTTATTTCATGGCAAAACAATATTAGAAATCAATGACTTTCTTTTATTGTAAACAGTGTTTTTATAAAGCACAACATAACTGGAGTATCAAAGATTCAATCCAATATTTCAATATTTTATCTGTGTAACCACTTAGGCATAGCAGGTACTGTCAGCTTCAGTGTGTGGGTGGCGTAATAAACAATAGCTCAGAATTGTTAATCAAAGAGCTGAGTTCCAATTCCAGTCAGTTTCATTTACGAGCAAGTACCCTTAGGAAAGGTATAAATCCACCTCTTCTGACCCAGGTATGGTTAATTAGTAATACTTATATTATTATTAACTCTAAAAATTTCTTACAAAATAAAAATATGTTCTGGCTTTAAATAACCCACAAAAGGTTAATAAACCATGAAAAAATAAATCAATCAAACAAGCAACGGTTTATCCAAGAAACTTGGGCAATTCAAAAATATAAGTTTAATAATTATATATATATATATATATATATATATATATATATATATATATATATAATTATATATTATAGCATTATATATTATATAATTATATATATAATTATGTATGTAATCAAATATATGGATATAGATCCACAGTATTAAAAAAAAATATAGAAAAAAAAACAAACAAAAATCTTAATATGCAATTATGAAAAATTAATGTTAATATACCACAACATCCCACATTTTAGTTTTATTTTATGTCCATCATCATGGACAAATTCAAAAAAAAAATTTTAATTTTTTGTTGACTTTATATTAAAAAAGATTAGATTTCAATTTAATTAATCAAGATAAGAAAACTTTTTTGTTTTTTTTTCAAATATATTTTTTCTTCATAATTATGTATATAATTTTAATTATAATTACATTTTAAATATAATAAACAATAAAAAAAAAAGCAAATCAATCTAACAAACAACAGTTTATCCAAGAAACTTGGGCAATCTACCAAAGGACAATTGTATTAAAAAATGGGTTTATATTCGTAAAATATTCTGCTGTTGAAATCATGTTTGTTAATATTTAATTTTTTTTTTTTTTTTAACAACACTAAAATCATGAATGATGCAAATTTAAAGAATTGGTTCATTAAGTTAAAAAGAGTTTGTGTTGAGATACTTACTTGATGCCATTGTCAACATGCCTCACCCACCCATCTGATCCAAGTAGCAACCTTACTTGGGGACATCGGTAGTCATTATTAATAATAGTATCTTTTCTTGCCAAACGCTTGCATGACAAACAGTCAGCAATTGTCTCCCATAATTTGTGACCTGCAAAAAAAGGAATTTTAAAATCACTGAACAAAAAAAGAATGTTTGACAAGATTCCAAGATTTAACATTTATCTGTAACATATAATCCTGTTATAATCGGGCTTGTCCTGCCTTACATTAGTTTGCACGACCATTACACCTTACCAGTGCCTGAGAAATAATGAACTATTGTGTTTCGTTAGTGTGAAAAGCAGGGGAAAAAAATCACTACTTGGTTTAATGGCCGTTTTCAGTAGTCAATTTCAAATCTTTTTATTTGTACGCCCTTACATCTTAAAATAATAACCAGCATTCATATTTACAATTGTTATTGCAATATTTTATTAAAGTTGTTAAGCTCAAATATTTAACAATGTGATAGGGGAATTTCTATGAATATTTTTTTGTCGTAAAACTTGGCATGACCTCATTCAATCATTAACTTACGGATTAAGATGCATCAGAAAATTCAATTAGGAAAACCATGAAATTTTCATAGGTTAAAATTAATATATATATATATATATATATATATAAATAAATGCATTTCTACAAGTTTTCTTATTCACCAACAAAACACATATTCAAAAACATGTATCCAAATAATATGCAGCATGTATTGTACTAGTATTATAGATAGGAGACAAATTACCAAAAACTCAAGCTGTATAGCTATGGGGTTAGAGAAAGAGCCCATAATCAGTATTTTAAATTTGTTTTTAATAGATCAGCAAATTTAATACTATTCAGACAAGAGAAATTTATAGAACCTACTGTGACTGAAAAATAGAGGGTTAATTTATAAACTTGATTGCAATATGGAGAGAGAAGGGAGATCACCATCCTCTGTGGGATCATGTTGAGATCATAGACAAAGAACACCATTGGAAAATTCGTAAACTTAAGGAATCAGCACATATGCTAAGCCACAAAAATCTCCTGAGCCAACCAAGCATAGAAATGAATACAATATGGAAACCAGTAATAAGGTGTGCCAAAAAAAAGTGATAATAACAACAAAAATTGCAATATGTGCACTGGTAAGAAACAGTTGCTGAAGACATTAGGTTTATAACACACAGAAATTCATACCCAGATGTCCTCAAGGACACATGGCACAATGGATAAAGGCGTTAGTTAGATCTAGTGACAGGACCCAAAGAGTGTGAGTTCAATACCAGGGTAAGGCAGTGGAGAACTTTCAGAGGGGAATTAACAGAGATAACTGATAACTGACATCCATTAAACATAGCACGTGGAACTAGAACAGTCTACCCCAGTGAGGGAAATAAAGTGTTCAGTTCGACATTCCAACCACCTGAAGAAGGCCAGAGTGTACAACGGCCGAAACATTGTAATAAATATAGTGACAAAGATGATGACAATAGTCTGAATAATGTAAATAATGTACATAATACCTCATCTCAGAAATATAGATAGATATTGATTGCAATACTTTGACTTTATATCTACATGGTGCAGTGAGTAAATTGTCACTATTTTATATTTTTTTAATTTTGCACATATGCATTGTTTGTTTCTGATTTTCTTGTCTACAGTCTTTTTCTCACGGTTGGTGCCCAACCGTGAGAAAAAGAGCACCATGCTGCAATTCTCTCTGCCAGAAATTACAAAATGGCATGCTGTAGTGTTTGGCATTCACACTGGAAGCTCCAATATGAACATTTCAGAGTGTTTGGGTGGCAATCTGATTGGAGAATGTTCTTTGGCAGATCATTAATAAAAAGCAGAAAGTAGTTGTTGTAAAGGTTATTAATGTTTATATACTTTAAATATTTACTATGCATTAGTTTTGCTTATTAACCCTAACAGGAAACAGCCTAGATATTTATCTAATTTAGTCTGGGACATATCCTTAATAATGGGGAACTCAATGATTGAATTCACTTCACCAGCAGTAGGACACAATATTAGCTTGCTAACCAGTAGATATTTACAAAGCCAAACTTAGTCTGGCACAAGGCCAAATCATAGGGCACACTTTTTTCTATAGTGAAGCATATGACCAAATGGTCAAAATTAAAAGATAAATAAATTATTTTTTCTGAAGAGAGAAAAATCCCTTTCCTCAAATCCACAGCAGACATTAAGAGGAGTAAGAAGTTCACCTATCACCCGGTTCACACTCCTCCCTCATCTTTTGAAAAAAAATAGAGGCTTGTTTCCTGTTTAGAGTTGGGTTTCCGGTACCTTATAAAGTTTTTTCAATCTCTTTCACTCCCAGTAGCCCCTTGTGTCTTAGCGGCATTATTGCCTTTCTTGGGATGAATTGATTCAAAAAAAATTTTAAATGATAAATATAAAGAAGAAACTAAATAATACTACTTTACCAAACTGAGGCCAGATTTCATGTTGGAATGAATTTTTAGGTAACAAGACTAAATCTCCATGCCATTCCCACTTCTTGGCAATATCTCGTTCTAATTCTGCCGTTAGGACATAGCCATGATCCGTAAGAAGTTTTTCCAGGCCTTGTGTCAACACTTGGTAGGGAGTTCGCAGCAAGGATCTCTTTGATGGCATCATTTTAACTTTCTTCACTTCAAATTCTGTGTTGTTTCCATGAGAAAAGTAATCAGTCAAAGTCTTATTCAAAAAATCTTGGTCCACGGATGAGAGAGGAATTGCCACTCGATCTAATTCAAGATGTTTCAGACGATATTCACAATCAATCAACGATTTGCTCTCCAAGAAACGCCTGCAAGAAAAATAGAAAAATTCTTTAGTGCTTTTTGTTCTTTAAATAAAATCAGTAAAATGCTAAAAAAGCAAAATCTTTGGACAATCTATTTACCAACGCCTCCAAAACCTTGTTCTTCAGAATTTTGACATCATTCTTTCCAATTTGTAAAAAACAATTATGCAAAGTACAATAAGGTTTTTTAGATGTGACACACACATTATATATATATATATATATATATATATATATATATATATGTGTGTGTGTGTGTGTGTGTGCATATGAAAAAATATAGTTTTACGTTATGCTATATTTATGGGATAAAGTGCTCAATATTAGAGATATAGCGTATGTAAATATAAAATATAAAAGTGGACATTGAAGTCAACACTCAGAGGTGACAGACTGTTTCATGCTAAACCTCAATCGTCGAGCTGCCATATATATATATATATATATATATATAATCAATATAAAAAAGTTTTCTTCACTCATGTTTACATTGGGGTTTTGTGGCTATATAGATATAACCATTCTGTTCCGAAGAGTGGTTATATCTGTATAAACATGAAACTCTGAAGTAAATAGGAGTTAAGTGAAAAAAATGTTTTCATTTTAATTCTAATAATGCTCTTGCTCTACCTTCAATATTGAGCACTCTGCCACAATGCTTGCTTTAAATGCCTCCTTATCAACTATTGAAAAACCAGCAATTTTGGCTTCAAAGTATTTCAAATTAACACACACACTATATGTTAGACATTTCCATGATGGTCGCCCCCAGTATTGAATCTACAGGTTGGCAGAATATTTCGAGACAGTAGGAAAGCGTGCTTTTAGGTTCGCAGTGGATATCACAGCAGAGTGTAGTT